AAGTACTTTATTATTACTTTTACTAATTTATAGTTAATTAAATTAACTACTAATTAGTGTTAATTAGGCTTTTTTAGCTAACTGCGTATAGTATAAGCACTTAGGTAGTAAAAGTAAAAGTAGTATATAGTGTGCATAGTGTATAAGGTAGGTAGAGTAAGGGAAACATGCTTCTAGTTCTATTACTCTTGTCTTTCCTTTATATAGAGGAAAAGAGGGATATCTAGATATTTGCGCACAGAGGTTCGCGCACAAGCATTATGTGACATAGATACGTGATCCTGCTTGTGCGCAATAGCTTGTATCTAAACTGTGACGCTGCTGCTGCGTACAGACACTTACTTTATACTTATTATTTATATGTTTCTTATGCTTTTAACTAAAGCCTATAAAGGTTTTAAGCCTAGGTGTTTTACACACGCATGCTAAAGCTCTTTTAAGTATAAGTATAAGAATATAGTCTAAGAGTGTTAGCGTTCTAAACATATACTTTACTCTAGGAAGTAAAAAAAAAATAGCTTTATATTTAATAAATATAAAGTTATGTTTTTAGTAAAGTGTTATAAGTACCTTATTCTTTTCTAGTGTGCTTATGTGTAGTGTATAGTTAAGTTTTAAATACTATAGTCTTTTTTTTTAAAAAATAAGCTTTTAAAATAATATTAATATAAAATATTTTTACTATAACTACTTTTTATAGTGTAAGATCTTTAATATACTTTTTTTATACTTTATTTAATACTTTTTAAGCTTTTTAGTTTCTATTTTTTAGGTTTAAAATAACTAAAGTATAAGCAGCTTTATACTATTTACTAAGTATATAGCACTTCTATTATCTAGAATTATGCTTATAAAGAGTAAGTAAGTGTTTAAATTTATAGTTATATGTATTTTTCGTTTTACTAAAAGCGCTAAGTTAATAAGTGTAGTAATAATGCTTTTTAGAAATACTAGTTTATCTAATTTTTAATAGCTTTTAATGTAAAGAAGGCTTTATTTAGAATTATATAACTTACCTAACAGGTTAGCCGGCCACACAGGTTAGCTAGCTACTTTTACTAAGCCCCTACCACACTCTACCTATCTACATAATGCCTTAACAACAACACTAGATTAAATCTTCTAAAGAATGTTAAATATAGCTTACTCTTTAAGCTTTTAAATAAAACTTAAAACTTTTCTTATAACACACTATAGCTATTTATAATATCTTTTATATAACACTAAGTAATTAACGCGCTAGACAGCCTTTATAAGTAAAATGCTAGCTTAAATTAAGAAATCTAACTAAGCTTAAAAAAAAAGTAGTTATTAAGTATATACTTAAGCTTATTACACGCAAATTTCCTCTTAGGCTTATAGCTATAGCTAATATAGCTAATTCCTTGCGCGCAGAGTGTAATCTAGGCTAGGTTAGCTTAAACTAGCCTAGTATATAGGTTAAGCACTGCTCTAAGTTTATAAGAAAGTTTAATTATAAGTATAATTATAAAAGAGTGCTTTATAAAAATCTAGAGGTTATCTAAAGCTAGTTTTACCTAGTAGCTAACATAAAAGCTAAGTATAGTATCTAGAATAAAGACACATATAACTTTAATAAGTTAGGCTTTATAATAGGCTAGATATTAACTAAAGCAGTTATTACAGCTTTAAAAAGATAAAGACAGCTAAAGGTAATAGAGTAAGGTAATAAAGAGTAGATAACAGTTATCTAGAGCATTAACATAATAAAGTAAGCTATTTTACTCTTTATTATTTTTAAGGGCTGCTATTACTTTTTTGCTTAGTATAAGAAAAAGAATTTACTTTAGAACTAAGTTATTACAGTCTCTAAAAACAGCTAGACAATAAATAAGCTTAAGCTATAGTAGTTAAAGCACTTTAATAAGCATATAAAAAAAAGGGTTATAAGAACTTATTAGCTTTTTATTATTAACAGCTATAAAACCTATAACTTACTTAATTTCTAGTAGTACTATAAAAAAATAAAATTATTATTATTTATATACTTTTATACTTATTACACCTTTTATAGCCTGTTAATATAGGTTGTTTTACCTCTTTAAAAAAAGTATATAAGTGCTAAGCTAAAGATCTTAAACATAACTAGATTACTTATATTATAAAACTTAAGCTTTTACTATGCTTTATATATGTTTATAATGTAGTAATTACTTTTAGTAATATCTAAAAAGGGGTTTAAGGCGCTAGTTTAGTTTTATTTAACCTAAAATAAGTTAAAATAGCTCTTAATGTTTAGTTACATACTTTATTACTACTACTACTTATTAATAATAAGCTTTAGCAGTTATAAACTCTAAGTAATACTTTTAAATTTAAGTTATAATTAATGCTTATAAAGGTAAAGATTTAAAGGCATATAAATAGCTTACTAATATCTATAGTAAAGGCTTTTAAAAAAGGTTTAAAGGGGGCAGTAATTATTACATATAAGCTAGTGTTAGTGTAAAAGAAGATTACAAAGCTTTAAGTAGTAAATAAGGCTACTACATAACATAGATTATATAAAAGAAAGTAGATTTAGGCAAAAAAGACTTTAATAGTTAAAAATAGGGCTTATTTAACTACTTTAAAGAAGTTTAGAGCGCGTGGTAATAAAAAGAAGCTAAAAACATAGGTGCACACTAAAAAAAGTAAGCTAAGTTAAAAGTAATACAGGCAGTGTAATTAAACTAGGCATAACTTATATACATAGAAGAAAGTAGTAGAAGTAGACTTTCAATAATATCTTGTGTTGTATTACTTTATATAGGGCTAAAGTAGGCTGTTTTGCGCTAGAATAGGGTGGTTTTAGTAGGGGCTTAGCAAAAGTAGCCGGCTAACCCGTGTGGCCGGCCAACCTGTTAGGTACGTTAGCTTTTTTTAAGAAGTACAGCTTTTACTCTTTTATATTGCACTTACTTAAGCCTTTTAAAAATATTTTAGTGTATAGTTTTACTAAGTATTTTTAGTTTTTTAGTAACTACTAACTTAAAGTCTTTATAGTCTACTACTTTTTATAAATAAAAGGATTACTTTAGAGCTTTATATAAGTAAGAGTAGCTTAATTAGGCTAAAATAAATTAAGCTAAATTATTATCTAATTATTTACTAAGTATTATAAATATACTTATACTTTAGTTACTTATATATAAAAAGTGCTTTTAAAGCATTATTAAAAAAATCTTACTAATTTTCTAAATTATTAAAAGTTTTTTACTAAGTGCGCTAGCCTTTTAATTCTCTAGTGCATAAAGCGCGCCTAGTTTAGTGTAAGCTTTAGAGCTAGCGCGTCTAGAACGTCTTATGTAGCTAGCTAGCCTTCTACATTAAAAATCTTATAGGTTCTTACCTTAGTATATAAAAAGTACTACTACTAGTACTAAGTTTTTAAAGTTATAGTGCTATACTTTACTTTTGTAAAGTAAGCTTTATACTTTACTTATCTAAAAAATTTTATGCTTATGTTTATTAGTGCTAGCTCTTATTTTAAGGCTTATACTAGTGCTTATAAAGTAGATTAGTTCTCTAATATAAGCTATATTATTATAAGTCTAAGAAGCTTTAGTGTAATAGTTATATTAACTTAGTTCTAGATTATTTAAAGATATATTATATAAGAAGCTTAGTTACTTAAGTAAGCTTAGTACTTAGTAATATTAGTCTAGTACTATATATTAGCCTTTTTTAAAAAGTTCTTAGTAGTAATTACTTTAAGTATAGGCATTTTTAAATCGTTGTTTATAGGATTTAAAGTGTTAAGTTTATCTAGATTAATTAGGTCCTATAGGTTCTTACTAAGAGCATAGAACTAGAGCTAGATAAACTAAAGAGGCTAGCTTATGTAGTCCTTAAGCTAGTACACTCTTATTAGAAGAGAAGCATCTTAATTAGCTATAACATAAGCTTTAAAAGTAATAAAAATAAGTATAAAAAATAAAAAATAAAGCTTTTAAATAGCTTACACTAGCGCTATAGTTATATAAGAAGAATTATCCTAGGTTTTTAAAGCGCTAGGCATATAACTGTAGAGGATAAAATAGCCTAGCAGTAGCTGTTTAGAAGATTAGATAAAGTAACTCTGCTATCTAGGAGAGTTAAAGGCTCTTCTTATATACACTAAGCTTTAGAACATAATATCTCCAGATCCCAAGCCGCGTCCCAGGCTCTAAGCCCCAGCCAAGGCTCTTAGTATACGCGACAAGTAGTTTATACTTATATATAACACTTTTACTAAGTATAAAATTACTACAGTAACCGTACGTCTAGGGACTTCTGACTCCTTTTTGAAGGTTTTCCGTCTCCGCTTTCGGAGCCACTCGTACCCAACGTGCCAAGTCCAAACCCCGCAACCCCGTTAGCTCTTATTGGCTATCTCCCAAACCACCCCTGCAGGTTTCCTGGTTCTAAAATTCAGAACTGAATGAGTCTAAAAGTGGTGAACCGAATAGCTGCGCTCAATAGAGCCAAGTTTAGTGCGTTATGACATTGAAAATTTATATGATACTCCTTCGGTCGGTCGCATTTTTAAGAACCCGTTCAAGATGGGATTCTTCCTCTCGTTACAGCTCTACTCTTGTGTCTTTCTGTCCTAGTTCGCACCGTTCAAAGCTCTTCCTCCACAACGCATTCTCTTTCCTAGTATTCCTGCTTTCAGCAGAGCTGTCGGTCTTCGTAGTCATGATGGAATGTCCCTTTTGACCGGCCGATCGAGGATCGACAGCTGTCAATGAGAGCAGAGTCACACGTTCTCCTCCAAATTGGTCGCTATGCTCTTTAAAGCGGGTTCGGGCCAATTTAGGATGGTAAATATGATCCTCCGAAGTCAAGGTACATGATCGCCTTCGAAAGTTCTCTAGTTTACCAGGTCATCATGATCCATCGAATCACGATCCATCGCCAGAGTGGTGATACCCCGCAAATCTATGTTCTGTCAGAATCCAGCACGTCACATGTGTTTTCCAACAGATAGTCCATGCCTTTCAATTTTCTTATTGATCTCATGAACGTCCATTATGCAAGCCAACTTCGACAACCCATTTCTTTAGAAGCCACGCCCAACTATTCATCTCGTCCGGCTCGGGTCGTACGAGCAGACTCAAGACGTGGGGAAGAATATAAAGAAATTTCTCCAATAATGCTTTGCTAGGCTCATGGGTGTCACTGAAAAAACACGATGGGTCTATGGTTGGTCTACATCTACTAATAATCAAGCGCGACGAGTTACACGGAGATTGAGTTACTTTGATATGGTTACGGAGAGCACGAGGATAAATCTCCTCAGTGCTGGCCCGGGGATGGTCGCTGCCTGGCACGAGATAGAGCAAGAACCGCGGTAGGACCTCGTTAGTAGGTCGATGGCTACTATTGAATGCCAAGGATAAGATCTAAAGAACTATTATTAGATGAAGGCTTGTCATACGCTTACATGATATTGCCAATTTGAAAGCAAAGGTATGCCGATAAGTGGTCAGGCGGTTCGCGGCATTGATATAGTACACGCGGTAACAAAACTAATTTGTACTACCAGTTTGTAAGCTATTTCCAATACTAATTATTTTCCTCGGGGCGTCCTAGCAGCATCATGTCCTCTCCAGGTGGGCTCATTGACCTCATTCTTTCGCGAAGCCAGTAGGCAACAAGTATCTAAGCATTGGAATAGAATCAGCGTACACGTCATGAATTGGGGTGTGAATTGGAGTACCAAAGCTTCGGGCCAACATGGGATACGAGCAACATGTTTTACAAAGTGTGCATCGAATGCTATTTAAGTGATTGCTTGCCACGACAGCGTGCAGCACCGCTGCGAGTCCATTGGATTATCCCATCGAAGATACGACACTATCACGACGGCTTCCGAGAAGTTTTGGCATCCTTAGCTTGGCATGTAAGGTAACAAGCAAGGGAGTGGCTAGAACAAACGCAAACCTTGGGTGAGTCCATGCAACGTAACCCACCGGGGTTCTCAGGTTTCCCAAAATTGATCGGACTCGGTTTTGTGGGTCCACGATCGTATTGCAATAACGGTTTTTCCTGTTGCGGTTATACACAGCTCAGCTGAAGTCCGGGCTCATTCACCGGATATCTTGGCAATATCTCTATCCTAAATCTATAAAGGGTGCGAAAGGGACGAACATGGACACCAAGCGCTTTCGACGCTCCCATCCACCCAACATTTCCTCGATCGCATATCATCATGAAGTACTCCTTCACTATTCCCGTACTTGCGACTCTCCTCCTTTCCGTTTTCGCCACTCCGGCTGCCGTTCCGGAAGCTAATGGGCTAGAATCCAGGGCCGTTGTCTCTTGTACAGCCAATGGTGGCCCCGTTTCCAGTTGTTGCACCGGGAGTTTGACTCGATACGGATGTCCTCACACTGATACCAATGCCTGCACTAAGGCTGGTACTACGCCTTGCGGCTCTATTGTGCAGATCTACTGTTACTTGTTCGGAGAAGCTGTGAATGGGAACTCGTACGTTTCTTAGAGATTGCGATGACTAGGTCTTCTTGACTAATAACCTTGTGCAGGATGTGGTTCCGTCTCAATCCTAGCTCGAATGGCATGATGCCTGCATCTTTCTTTTCTTGTACGTATCGCTTTCGTAGCTGATATGATGGAACTAACAATAGATATAGCTTGTTCTGGGATTTCTCCGTGCTAGATAAAGTTCGAAACCATTGCGCTGGTTGATGGTAATGGAAGTTACTCGCGGATTTTAGGAGTATGGAAAAGATCAAGACATCTAGAAACTATTATAAGCTCGCTTAAGGGGTTCGGGGCCCTGATCAATCCTATCCACCTAACTTTTGATCGCGATATCATCCCACACAACACGTTTATCATGGATATAAAGGACAGAACGATTGAAGCTGCAATTCATAGGATTCATTTAGGCAGTTATACATCTGTACGCTAAGCCGCGAAACACTACGGAATCCCTTGAGCAGCTCTCTAGCGCCGCCTTGATGGCTTGACAAACTGCGCAATATCGCATCGGATTCAACAACGATTGACCCTAGATCAAGAGAAGTTCCTAGCTAATTAGATTCTTGAAGAGGGAGCCTGTAGATATCCACTTACTATCCCCTGCGTACGGAAGATGGCTCATTGAATCCGATAGATAAACGGCGATTATTATACCTTAGGTAAGGCATGGATCTCTAGCTTTCAATGTTGTAATCCACACGCTAAATTAATCATTACCTAGAAAATTAAGTCTCTACCGGCAGACGTAGTTACACTAAATTAAATTCCCACGCTCCTTAGGCTCTATAAATGTACCCAAGTACGTCTTAATATTTGTATAGAGGATATATACAATATAGACAAAACTAGAGCTACCCTAGGTGTATGCAACATCACTATGATACTTGCAGATGCCTAAAGGTGAAAGGTTTATATTAAATCCCTAAAGAATTGCAAGTGGGTATTAATTATTAGATTAATATCAGCAGACAGACAGAAACTACAATGCGTAACAGTATTCAAAGACTAGAGCCCCCAAACACTTTAGTTTCTCTTAAGAATACCTGATTATTTATATATAGTATTAGAGAACAGATGGACGTTAAATGTTACAATTAGGCTTGGCCTTAGCTGCTTGCAGCTATATATAGCTAGAATGGACAAAAAACGATTAGCTAGGTGCAGCAAGGTATTAAAGAATGCAGCAAGGCATAAAACAAGGAAGTAGTGTGTATATAAGCAGTAGCAAATCTCTGCCTTAGAGGGTATTAGTTTGTCTAAGTCTTTTACTTAGATCTTAATTATTTAAGATGTATATAAACTATGTTCGATAAGAGCAGTTTAGTCTATCTTTATATCTATTATACACTATTATTTAACATTTAAATTAATACTTCTTAGATATAACAGCCTACTCTTACCTAAGCTTTACTAACTACTAACATTTTAGAATTGCCTACGCCTATATAAAAGGTATTAAAGAAGACTTTACTTGTTATATTTTAAAGTAACGTGTTTTAGAAAAGTTTAAAGCTAGTTGTTTTTAACATTAACTCTAAGTTTTTAATTCTAAAAAAGTTTTTAAAAAACTTTAATAAACTTAAAAATACCTTTCTAAAATGTAATAACTTTATTAAAAATGCAGTAGCTTTAAAGCAACTTACTAAAAAATACTTATATTTTAGTTAAGTTTTTAAGTATTAAAAGACTCTACATAAACTATATACTAAAAAAGAAAACACTTATAAAGTTACTAAAAAGTAAAAGAAAAATATAAGTTAGACTTTAGAAAGTTAAAGAACTTTTCTTTATAAAAGTATAAAAAATAAAAAAAAGTTTACTAGCTTTAAACTAAAGGATCTCTAGACTAGATAAAACTAGTGTATTCTAAAGCACTTTTAATTTTAGTAACCTGCTACTATTACTACTAGCCTTGCCTATTTAGTATAGAAAGACGCGCTACAAATATAATAACAAAGTTAAAACAATAAATAATACTATAAAAAATGTTATTTAGTTTTTAACTAAGTACTATACAGCTTACTATAGTTAACTTTACTGCTTTAATAGTTAAAAAGACATGTAAGAAGCTTAGAAACCTATAACGTATTTTATAAGCAAGTAGTCTAGACAAGTATATAGTCTACTTGTAACAAGGTAGGCACAGTCGACCACGTGGCCTTCTTGTAACGATTCTCATGAATCGTTCTAACTTAGGTAGCCCGGGACCTACCTAAAGGGTCCCTGTATCCGCTCTAACCTAAACTTAGCTCTGCCCCCGACAGTTACTCTTATTTGCCTAAGTATTTAGTTGCACCTCTCTCTTTAGCTAGCTTAGTAGTTTTCTAATATTGTTTTGTATAAGGCCTATAGGTGTTAACAGTATTCCTAGGTTATTAAGTCCCCACGCACTCTTATATGCCTCTAAGTAGATTCTTACTGCATTTAGATCTAGTATCTTGCCTACACTATTACATTATACTAGAAAACTTAGTTTTTGCTAGTAATAGCTTTATTTATAATATTATATTAAATTATTTAGTTAACGTACTTCACAGGCGAGTTGCTTACACACCTAAGTTGCTTACCTTTACTAAGACTACACTACACTACACTACTTTTCTTACACTAATGCATTTCTAATAACACTGCTTAAACATGTTAAAGGAATGTTAGATGTAGCTTACACTTTAGGCTTTTAAATAAAACAAATACTTTTTAAACAACACGCTGCAGCTATCTATAAAGTTCTTTTAAAGATAATAAGTAACTAACACACTAAATAACTATTTTAAGCTAATTATATAGGTAACTTATAAAAGCTAGATAATAATAAAAAGCAGGTAATTATTTAGCATATACTTAAGCTAGATGCGTAAGGATGTTCCCCCTAGCTAGCAGCTATAGCTAATATAGCTAATTCTTTACACGCTAAGCATAATATAGGCTATATTAGCATAAACTAGCTTAATATGTTTATTAGGTGTTACCTAAAGCTTAAAGAAAAGTTTAAGTATAACTATAACTATAAAAAAGCTTTTTATGAAAATTTTAAAGTAATTTAAAGCTAGTTTAACTTTATAAAAAATATTAAAGCTAAGTATAGTATTTAAGATTATAAAATGTATAACTTTAATAAAATAGACTTAATAATAGGCTAGATATTTACTAGAGTAGTTATTATAAGTTTAGAGAAATAAGAATAGCTAAAAGCAGTTTAGCTAGGCAACTAAGAGTAGACAACAGCTATTTAAAGCATTAATGCTAAAAAGTAGGCTATTCTACTTTTTAGTATTTTTTAAAGTAGTAATTACTTTTTAAACTAGTGTAAGGTAGAAAATTTACTTTAAAATTATGTTATTATAGTCTTTAAGTATAGCTAGACCACTAATTAGATTAGTTTAGACTAGTTAAAGCCCTTTAACATGCATATAAAGAAGTGCACTATTAGCAGCTACTGTCTGCTAGTTATTAATAGCTATAAAAGCTATAACTTACTTCATTTTTAGTAATACTATAAAGATAATAAGATTATTACTATTTATATGCTTTTTTACTTATTACACTTTTTATAGCTACTTAATATAGGTTGTTTTACTTCTTTAACATAAGTATATAAGCGCTAAGCTAAAAACCTTATATGTTACTAGATTATGTATATTATAAAAATAAAGTTTTTACTATGCTTTAAAATAGCTTATAATACTATAATTACTTCTTGTAATATTTAAAAAGAGTTTTAAAGCGCTAGACTAGTGCTTTTTAACCTATAACGTACTTCACAGGCAAGTTGCTTACACACCTAAGTTGCTTACTTTTACTAAGACCCTATTAAGCTACTTTTCTTACACTAATATATTTCTAACAACACTACTTAAATGTGCTAAAAGAAGGTTAGATATAGCTTACACTTTAAGCTTTTAAATAAGACATATGTTACGATTGTGCACGAGTAAGGTTATAGAGCTTCACAGAGGTCTAGTTTAATTACTACGTGAGGTATTATAGTAGGTACAAGACATTGTGTAAGGAACAGGAAGGTTTAGAAGGAAATTAGTAATTAAATACTTAGCTTAAAAGTCTAAGCGCTTTAAGTATAAATTAAGCCTATTTTAAGTTTAGTTAGTGTTAAAACAGTTTATGCTTAAGTTTATGTCTATATTATGTTGTGTTTATATTAGACATGCACTAATAATACTCTAGTACACGTCTAATACAGTTATGTCTAGGATCTAGGGAGGATACTGTGATAGTACCCCCCCTCTTATTAGGAAGAGAATTCTTTACATTAGTAGTTCTAGCATTAAGTTGTTTTTATTAGGGTACAGGCTTAGTTTAGATAGGTATTAGGCGTAAAATTAGGTTACTACAAAGTTCTTTTATAAGGCTTCTGTAGGTTCTTACAACAGTTTGTTATATCTAGTCTATTTTATAAAGTATTTATAGATACATTTTTTCTTATTAAACTAGATCTATTTAATGTCTTTTATAACATATTTTAGTTTATTATTTATAATAATAGGTTTAGGTGGCAAGTTTAGCTATCTAAGTAGATAGTTAGATTTAGGGGCTACTTAGCGCAGTAATAATACGTAGAACACAGGGTGTATCTTTATGCTGTTAGGTAGGATTAATTAGTAAGTGTGTAATAAGACTATATAGGCTACTATAAAAGGGCTAAGGTTCTTCTAATTAAGTTTCTTTAATTATTAGTTTATTTAGATATTTCTAGTGTCTAGCTAGACCTTCTTACTAGCTGCATACACAGGGGCAAGGGTTTAAAATTAGTTTATATACTCTTATTAAAGAGCTTAAGCCTATGTAAGCTTTTTATAAACATATTTAAATATATTTTAGATTTTATTAATAAGTCTATTTACATCTATTACTTATATAAATTAATAAGTTAGTTAGGAGGTATTTAAAAGTAGTTTAAATTCTATTTAAAAGTAGTATCTATAGTTTACTAAAAATAGAGATACTTATATTAATTTAGATGTTATATTATTAGCTTTAAACTATGCTGTAGCTAACTATTTTACTTAGTTATCTTACTAGTAGTTTATGTACACTTATAAGACTTATTTTATTATAGTGTTTATGTTCTTAGTCTAGCTATTAGTCTCTAGGTAAAAAGCTATAAATAGATAGAAGATAATTTAGAGCTGTTTACAAAGTTTGTCCTAGAAGGCTAAGACAAACTGCGTACCTTTATTTAATATAATTATGTTAGGCAGGCTATAGTAAACTTATACATATTAGTAGAATAACTAGGCTATATTAAGGCTAGTTATAGAGAAACATAGTATTAAGTGTTAATACTTAGTTAAGTAATTAACAACTACTATAATATTTATATACCCTTTAAATAAAGGTAGGTTTATAATAAAATTAATTAATATATTTTTCTAAGCTTATTTAAAGATTAGGA